CTGTTAAGATATAAAATGGGGGTGGCAATGATGACAGACTGGTATTTTAGTGCAAAGGATGATGGGCACTCAGAAACAGACTCATCGTCAGTGAGCTGGCATGAACAGATGGAAAGTTGCACAAGTGTTGCCCGGCCCTCTATTTTATATATAGAAAGCAAGAGGCTGGGCAATTTGCCGAGTATCAATCGGATGCTGCCCAGGCTGTTTGAAGGCCAAGCCTACTTTAACCACTAGGCAATGCTGCGCTTCTAATCCGAATTTGCACAAAAGTCGCATTTTAAACTGCTTAAAACATGGCTTAGCTAAAAAGTCTCCGGGGCAACAGCTAAAAAGTCTCCGAGGCAACAGCAGTCTTAAAACGAAGGCATGCCAAATGGGAGACAGAGAAACATGTCGTCTTCACTATAACATACACAGCTCTTCAACATACTTGACTCTACTACAGTTCAACATTAAGAGATGTATGACAGTTTTACGTGTGATAATGCAATAATGAAAAGCAAGGGGAACAACGAACGCTGAACCTGCAGCCTCTCTCAAATGTGAGCACCAGATGCGAGTTCAAGTAGAGATGTCAAACTCATTTGGCCCTGTAGGCTGGATCTGGACTATGGGACTTCTCACAAGCCAGACAGCCCACCTGAATGCAGGCAGCCTTGGAAGTTAACACTGCTGCTGCTCCCTCAGCTGCTGCACTGAGATCCGAACAGAGATCTCAATGCAGAAATTCAGCAGCGAGGCCAGCACTCGGAGTAATGCCACAACCCTGCACCCCCCTACAAAGAAGTGCCACAGGGCAGATGACCTACCTCCACAGGCCAGATCTGACACCCAGGCCACAAGTTAGACACCCATAAATTAGAGCATTGGTAAAAGATTCTGCGTGTTACTCAGGCCTACTTCTACTCTACACTTGGAAGAGGTTTGCCACTACAGTTAGAGTACCGTAGCAAGATGCTTCTGCCTGCACGGCTTACGTGGGCTCCCTGGAGTCTAAACGTCAGTGCAAAGACACTGTTCGGATAAAAAATACAGTAATTACTTTGGAAAGCCTGGAATATAAGAGAGCGCAGCTATCTCAATTTATACTGCAGCCATGGTCAGAAGACTGGCAAACAATGGTATCTAGGAAAGCAAAGCTGTGTTCCCGTAATTAGATTGATATCAATCCAGTATGCAGAACACGTGCAAACCTCAATGTGTTACGACTCCCACATACCCAATGGTTTGCCACTGGGTCCCAGACCCATGTTAATACTTCTTCAAAAAAAATAAAAATAAAAAGTCAAGTTTAGGCAAACTGGGCATCTGTGTGTCTGCTACTGGCAATGTTATGGCACTGCAATGGCACTTCAGAGGCAAAAAAGGGGTGGGCAGTTAAAATTAGCAGATTCACTTACAAAAGAGAGGCTTTGTAAAGCTCCATGTTTTTGGAGGTGGCCATGGAAATGTATGGCGGTCATACTTCCATCCAATGCATCTTGCAACTTCCAGGCTATGCCTCCAATCTCCCATCCTAATTCTATTACTTCAACTTGCACTTTAAATACAACCCACATTTGGCAACTTAAAATTACAAACAGAATCTGGTCAATCCAAAAAGCTTCAGCCTCACAAGCTTTGTGCAGCTGCATCAGCAAAAATGTGCTTTACTTTGGATGCTGGCTGCTGATACCAATGGTTAGAAGATGCTCCTACTAGCCAGGATACCAGATTAAAAATAATTAGATTTTGTATGAGGGTAGAGGCTCAGGGATCCAGTAGGTAGCAGGGCTCCATCGTGCCAAGTGCCCCATGCACAGAGACAGCAGCTGTTCTACCCCACCGAATTTACTGTTTAAGCTGAAATGAGATGCAACAAACTTCCCTCCTACTGTTTGACGTGAGACAATGGGGTACCAAAGATTAGGCCATACCTCCTGCACAACCAGAGATTTATTTGTGAGTTGACTGAATGTTTTTGGAGGAAAGGAAGAGGATTAATTTGTAAAATAACTGAGATCAATTATCCCCGACTGACCATTATTATTTATTGGATGTTATTTTATGGTCTGAGCGCCAACTTCCACAGGGGAGTTGTACAGGTTTACACTGTCTGTATATTCTTTGGCTGCTCAACACTTTCTGAATAAAAGCAGCTTTCTGTGCAAAACTGATGAAACTGTGCCAAAACTGATGCACTTCACACAATTTAGTCAAAATTGGACCCCAAAAAGTCAGTGAAGTGCTTTTCTGTTTACTATCATTAGTAGTAGTAAAAAATTAGAATGATGACTTATGCTTTACATTGAAAAAAAAAAGTGAAACACTTATGTCGCTGAAAAAGCTGTCTGATAAAGTTGTTTTGATGGCATTGAAATGATTTTTTTTTTTTTTTTTTTTTTTTTAAAGATGAAAAAAATGGTTGAGAGAAACGCAGACATTTCATTCCAAGACAGGCTGCAGGGAAAATCCAGAACACTGGAATTTCCCGCAGAACTCTGTGTTTTGATCAGCTCAACAGCATTTCCAGCATTCACAGTCACAAGTGAGTTTTACTCAAACTGGCATCTGCTTTCACAAAACGGGAAAGCGCTCCCTGAGGATGACCTTGCACTGCTTAGCTGTTGCCGCAAGTTTATTCCATGAAAGGTCCTAAAACGGGTCCTTGCATCTCTTTACAGCTATGCCTTGTAGGCCAAGTACAGACAGTCAAAAAGCCCAAGGCTGAATCAATTTAATCTTTGCAGGTTAGTCTAAGCGGTGTAGACTGAACCACTAACCAAGTGAATGGACATTCACTTTTGATTCTGGAAATGCAGCCATACATGTCTGCAGTGGCTCAGGCCAGAAGCTGCAGGGAGCTAGAGCACGCCACCCCGCTCAGCATTCAAACTTGGCCAAGTCTAGCCCGACCACCGGGGGGGGTGCAAAGCATCCTGGGATGCTGGGGATCTCTTGAGTTAACTTGCATCTGGAGTGGGATCTGGGATAGACATTCAGTAAACCAATTTAACCTAAATAAGTTGACGTCTGATACTACGTCCATCCAGGTTCATCTTAAACTGGTTTTGGCCGCTTTGAAAGTGGTTTAAGTGCACTGAACTGCTGCTGTGTACATATTTGAACTGGTTTCCGTCACTTTTACCAGTTTACGTGTAATTTTTCCCCCTAGTCATAAAGGATATTGCAAAGAGCCAAGTTTGTATAGCATACACAGAACTAAATTCTGGATTTTAGTGTGGTGAAGTTGGGCTTCTCAACACACAGATGAATCCAAAAACTATTCTACAAATATAGTCACATCCAGATGTCCCATAAAACGCATCAAACCCTATAATATCCTAGGCAAGAGATTTTAACATAAAACTAGGGCATCTGCTCAGCTTAAAAACTGCCTATTGCTCTATTGAGAACCCTCCAGCAGAGATAAGAAATATATCCTTGAGGCACCTATCATCTAAGCACTTTATAAACATTAAGCCTCAATAGCCCTGTGAAGTACGTAGAAGTTAAGCAACTTGCTGTTCCACGGGCCAGGAATAGAAGTAGCAGCTCATTCCCAGAGCGCAACCACCATTGGCAGCGGCTCCCTGAATAAGGGGACTCTCACATCCTGCGCAGCAATGATCCAAACTGCTGCATCTCAGATCATTACTGAAACGCATCATAGGCTTTTATTAAATAAGTAGCTTGTTCACTCAGATGCGGACAAGACCGCACCCAGTCTACTATCAGCTGCCACATGGGATGAATTCCTTGCACTTTTTTAGGAACACAATAGCAGGCATTAAAAGACCTGGGAGCATTTAAGGAAAAGCAGAGCTACGCCAGGTTTCACCCAGAAGCCCTGTGTTTCAAAGCGCTGGGCTATTTTGGACCCAGGCTTCTCTTCTGTGCCGAAAAATAGTGCTCTGCAATACTGCATAACACCACCTTGCAGCAGGGGCAACAGCTAAGTAACACACTTCTAGATGGAAAACCTGGGCATATTGCAGGAAGATGCAAGCAGCTGAGGGTCTGTCAAAGAGGCGATAGGTTAGAGAGGTCTTAAAGTGAGAGAAAAAAAGGGATATTTCCAGGTGAAAAAGGAGGGTTAAGAGTTAGCTGTGCATCTCAGAGTGCCACGTCTGTACCCTTACCCCCAAAGGTAAGTGTTAAAAAGGTTGGGTAGGCATTACAGGACGGTGTGGTTCTGGAAGGACAGGGTCAGGGAGGAGCTCGCATCTGGATTAGAACATATTTTGGCTTCTTTCAAGGGGAAAAAATAGCACACTGGAGCAAGATGAGTAAGAGCAACCATACATTCTCTAACTTCATCCTCCAAAAACCAAGTTGGACTAAATGCCTCCCAAGAACAGTTCTGAATTTCTGGAGAAAAACCCGAAACACTAAAAAGGTTCAAGATACCTCCAGCCCTTTTCTTTAGAAATCAGCTCACTTTATCTAACAAAGAATCAAGGTATTCCCCCATTAGCCTCAACCAAATCTCTTTCCATCCCTAACATTGCTCCCATGACCAGCTCACAAAGGTTATATAAAAGTAGCAAATTATTTTGGACAGCTCTATCCACCAGCTAGGGAACATTTCAGCATGGTCTTGTACATCAATACTGCACATCCTTTAGACCCAGTGCACAATAAACCTGTTATTTTATGACAGCCTGGGGGTTATAAGCCAATAAAGCTGCTGTTTAGTAGCTTTGTCCAACTCATGCGAAAGGCCTCAAAATCATTATCCGAGCTATCAATTTGAAAAGGAATCATTTTTGTTGTACACTGAAATTATGTATTCAAATGGGCAGAGAACATTCCCAGCACAAGGACTGCACTATGAATGATAATATGGAGATAAATATTTCTGAAGAAAAACTGCCTTGAGAACTCAGATCCAAAACATGGGACCCCCAGAAGCATGACATTTGCCAGCTGGGTTTCCATTTGCCATTGAAAATCATCGCAGCCACACATCTAGCAATGCCCACGTTTCCTTTGCTCAGGATGGATGAGACAGTTACCTGCAATCTGCACCGAGCCATCTTCTCCAAGAAGAATATTTCCTGCTTTCACATCCCTGCAGGAAAACAAAGCAACAGTCAGTGCTATTTGTTCATCCTCCCTCCTGCCAGCCACAGAAGAATGCATTGATGAGCTTTTACTGTTTTCCCTCTGAAGCACCAGGTTTTACCGCGTTGTTTCTTCATGCTTTCAACTACGCAGACACTATATAGATTTCATAGCTATCGTCATAATGTCAGTGTGTGATGCACATTAATGTTTTTATACCCTTTATTGCTAGAAAGGCTTGCTACAGAACATTATACCCCGGACAGCTTTGTGTAAAGGGTTTTCCCCTTCACCACAGAGAGATGCTAATCAGAAAGACTTGTGGTTACAGTACTCAGATTGGGAGTCTCCCATCTTTGCTGCATCATTTCCTTATTCCTTTGTGCCATCATTTCCCCTTACGCTAGATGGAAACGATACTGCTTCTTCTACGTTGTCTCCCTTGCCTCTTAAGAGCTGAAGCTCCTTGGGGCAAGGACTGTCACTTCAGGTATGGCCATCTAACCAATTAGCGAGTGCAACTTGCACTTCAGCTACACCACAGTCCATGTCCCCA